TGTTCCTCACCCTCTGGAATCCAGATCGATAGGTTCCACAGTCACGCCTCACAGGGAAAAAACAATGTGGACCTCAGGGTTTTAAGTTTTATTTTTGGTAACCTGAAGAAGGTTGATTGGAGTCTGAAGGAGTTGATGCTCGTTTGATAACGTTTTAGTTCCTGTTTTTGTTGGTTACCCGAAGGTTGATTGGAATCTCTGAGAGCCGATGCTTAGTTGCTAAGTATGATTACTGGCGAAAGATATGAAGATCGGATCTTGGCTATGGTGGATTATTGTCTGTCATGCATAAATCTAAAAGCATCAGCCAAGATCCGACCGTCGTTTGTTTGTCGGGGAAAAATCCCGAAAAGTCAGGAACAAGCTGATAATGAGTTTTTTTTTTTTAATTTATTGTATGATGAAGTCTAATCGGCGGAAGATATCAAGGATCCTCGACAAGATTTAGGAGGACTAAGAAGATTGGCGAAAGATAGGGTGGGTTGTAGTACGGAGCGTCGTTGGAGTTCGTCACGAATGTCACAAAGAAAACTTTTAGTATATTGCTGTGTGATTTACCCTTTGTATGTTCTCAGCTTTTAATGAGTCGCCGAGGATAGGATAGGAGGTGCGATGCCAATTTATGAACTTGGAATATAATAGAAGCGGGGAAGAGAGGACATTGCGAGCAACGGAAATCGAACCCGTATGTCCTGCCCGGAAAGCAGAAATGTTTTCAGTTTTCATAGTGCACAAGAGAGGAGAAGAGATGAGGAGACCGAAAAATGTCTTTACATGAGAGGGAAAGAGAGGAGACGAGATGGAAAGAGAAAAAAAAAGTTTCTTGACATGAGAGAGAAAGAGAGGAAACGAGATGAAAAGAGGAAGAAAAAGGAAGCTCTTTACATGAGAGGGAAAGAGAGGAGATTGAGGAAAAAAAGAGGGGAAGAGAGGAGGAGAGGAAAAGAGGGAAGAGGGTAAAGGAGAGATGATCGAGACAGGGCTCACTGTCGCCAATTTGTGACGGCCTCTTCATTTGTCTTTTGGTTTTATTCTGCTGTCTGTTGTGGAACTTTTACCACCGCTCCTGCTAATTTTCTAGACAGCTTGACATCCAGTCGCGTCGTTTGTCCATAATGTTATGGTCATCAGTCAAGTCAAGCCTTTAATTGCAGCAGCAGTACGTTTACAACCCCCTTGTCACCCGGGCCCTCCCTCCCCCTCCCTCCCGTACCCCAGCGTTATCTTCGTCGGCAAGGTTGATGGTTGCAGATGTCATCACGTCCATGGCTCTATGATGAAGATGAGGGACACGGTTGTCATCAAGATTCGGTAATAAACTCGTGCGGTAATTAGCTTAACTGAATGTCTGCTTATGTTCCATCATCAACCCACTGACAGGTCAGGATGTGCCCTACCTGAAATAACACGGCGCTAAGGATATAAACATGTGTGCCTCTCTGAACTGGATTGCGGTTGCATTATTGCAATTTACTTTCCAGTCCCTGGGTTCATCCTTTCTTTTTCTTTTTTATTTTTGTTCTCTCGAAACGTTGGATTCTACTCTTTCACGAGTACAGTTCGCATGCCGCAATCATCATCATCATCACCATCATCGCCATCATCATCATCATCGTCGTCATCATCAGGACGCCATCTTCATCAGAACAAATGCATGGCCGTCGATCTGTCACTTCGGTTAGGTGCCATTCATTACCTCATGTCAGTGCTAATCACGCCGGGAAACGGACGCGCAGTTTACTCAGCTTGATTCTTGAACAGAGCGCTTTGTATATTGTCCATCCAGTATCGCCCCTACGCTTGCGGTTGTAAATTTAGCTATTGCAAAGGGGCTATTGCTATTGCTTGCATGTTACCTGTTGTTCTGGCTTGTTCAGAGCTGTTTTAAAGTCAATGATGATTAGAAATGATGATATATATGACGTCGAGAGAAAATAGAACGAAAAAATGGCTTAACAAAGAGAATGAACTGATGAATGAAAGAAACGAGTAGTGACAGAATTTTCAATCCCAATCCGGCCCAGACTCCAAAAAAAGAAAAACATTTGTTCAAGTTGGCTAGTTACATTTGTTCGTGGGGAATCTCCTGGAGCGATAAATCGGAAATGGAGTTGCATCACTACCGTCTTCCTGCGAACATAAGTGTGTACCCTCGGCATGGCTGCATCGGGATCGGAAAGATAGCTTGTAGACTCTCATGATCGGGGTGCGTTGTGTTCCGGGGAAGACGGGTATTCGGTGTCTCTGGCAGTTATGAATAGTCCCTCCTCCCTGGGGCATGGAATGAAAGAGGTTAAATGTGAGTTGCCGACGTGCATGTTCTGGCGACTGTTTTCTTTCTCTTTCTCCTTTGGGCGAGCTTTTGGCCCGCGGACGCAAGAGAAGACCCGAACTGCCGGTACAGTGTAAGAATTGTAGTGTTACTGTGGTTCAGAAGCAGTGCTGCATTTCAAGGATTGTACCTCCCCCCCTTCCCCCTTCTTTTAAGGGGGGAAAAAACACTTTCTAAAGAACAGGAGTTCAGATAACTTCGCGCGTTCGAAGTGAAGAGATCGTTCGGGTGTTCAAAAGGGGATTAAGAAAAAAGGCCAGCGGAAACAGGATCAATTAGCAAGTAATACACTTATCAATTTAAAAAAAAAAGATATAAACAGGTCCTTATGATGGTCCTGCCGATAGGGAAATCGCATGCCCTTGACTTTATGCGAGTCACAGGTAAGCAAGGCGCTTCGGCAGGAAGAGGGGAGGGAGAGGGGAAAGGGGAGGGGAAAGAGGGAGAGGGGGGGGTGAGAGGAAGGGACCGCGGCAGAGGGAAATCGGGTGCGCTTGACCGGTGGGCAAGGCACTTCGGCAGGAAAGGAGTTGACCAGAGTGGAGAGTAAGGGAAAAAGGGGAGCGGGGGGCCGGGGGGAAGAGGGAGGGAGCGCGAGATAGGGAAATTGGATGCGCTTGGCCTTATGCGAGCGACAGGTGACCAAGGTCGTGGGCGGGGGGGGGGAGAGGGAGGGAGCGCGAGATAGGGAAATCGGATGAGCTTGGCCTTATGCGAGCGACAGGTGACAAAGGCCGTGCTTGTGAGGTAGATTGCAAGTGCAACAGGTAGTTTAGATGGAGCTTGGTCTCCGTATCGTGGTTCTGGCACCTCCAGCCAGATGATGAAGCCAGGGACTGTACCTTGTCAATACCTGGTGCAAGATGTCGATTGTAATCCCGGCAGCGAACAGCCACAACAGGCGAGCGAAGAGCACTTGGCGGGGGAAATGAGAGCG